GCTTGGAGGCTTTCTCCAAGTTTCAAGAGCAACGCTTTCTCTAAATACACAGATGTTAAAACCAAGTGCTGCTGTGGATAAAGTCAGTGAGAAAGTCTGAAAGTGTGTGAGATATTGAACGCCAGTTTACCTCTGATTCCCATCGGTGTGGGTGGGTGTGTGCAATGCTTAAAGTGCACATAAAATAGCACCGTATGAATGTGTGTGATTGGGTTATGCACTTTGGGTGGTCAATAACATTAGAAAATGTCCTAAACATTTAGTACCCATCTGTAGATAAACACTCTTTAATATGGCAAAAGACTTTTACGGTTTACTACTTCTTATTCTTTGCATCCCTGGGCTATGAGTCATGGACTCCTAGGAGTCCACAGACCCCACTTTGGAAACCATTTCTGTAGTTATCACAGTCTGGTCCTCATCAGAGGTGCTCTGGTGTATCGAAGTCCTATTATATTGAGATAATGTTATTCACTCTACCTCTACCTTTCAGGGGCTTTAAGTGTTGAATACTGTATGTTCTACAACAACATCAATTTTACCCTTATAACTGTACCTGGAAGTGCTGCTTTAGAAATCTCTGAAACTGCATGTTATTTATCTTTATTACCACTTAAGTAAACAAAATATTTAATTTAACTTGATAGTTTAGGTTTCCATAAAGGCCTCTCAAAAATAAGAATTGGAATGGCTGTGTAACCTAGAAGATATAACTAAGGATAAATATTTGTTATGAAAGCTTAGGGAGAAAAGCAGATTTTCATTAACTGCTTTGTTTCGTCTAATTATGTTTTTACATGAGGTCATAAGGTTTGCCAAAGCCTGTGCGGGCAGTGCTCGTGGTTGCTTAAGTTGTCCTCATTTGCTCTTTCCAAGTAAGCACCACTAACGGGCAGTTCAAGGTACACAGAAACATGGGGGAAAAATACTGTGCGCATGCTTTTTTATGTCTCTTAAATTCAAATGAGCACATAGACAATATGATTCTGTTTTTCTTTCCATTACAACATCAGGTTATTAGGCAGCATAGTTGTGTAATGCAGCTCACCATGCATGTTTTCTCTCTTTCAGGACTATAGCCTTGCTATGTTAAGAACAAGAGAAGCTAATCACAGAGTTACTACACAAATGAGCTAATCTGTAAATTATTTAATCCCGTTAATGAAAAATGTAAAGACATCTTTATGGAGACTGTGCCCTGAAAGCTAGTGTAAATGGGGAAGCAAGCTGTTGCATAATACTCAGAGAAAGTGCATGTGAGGACTGTGCCATGCTGAAAGTTCAGTTGGGGTGAGTTTTTGCAGAAAAAAGGAACACTGTTCCATAAGCGTTGTGCCACAGTGATACTTCCTCCTTGCACATGGGACTTCTTCACACTGAACCTCTCCTTTTTCTGTGTCGGCCTCTTTAGTTTCCATTAAACAAGGCAACACTTTTCATTTAATTTATGCAGATCTACGCTGGGTGTCAAAGACTCGGCCCAGAGCCAGAAACGACTGGTCAAAGGGTCCAATCAAGGCAAAAGTTGGATATGTAAAACGGGAAAAGAGCAGTGCATGAGAGCATCATTTTTCACTGTATTTGGCACAAAGAAGCATCATGTTACAAAATCACATCAAGTCATGGGAACTGTTGTCCAAATTTCATAATTTCATCCAAGCCAGAGGCCTGAATTATTGTTAGTTTTGAAGTTTTTTCACAGACATAAATATGACCAATGTCCTGTTATACAACATCAAAGCAAGGTAGTCAGGCCAAGGAGTTGTGTCAGTGTTTGTGTTTCTTTGTAATATACACTGACTGAATATGGAAGGACTGAGACATACTGCTGGCAATGCATTTATTTTTCTTAAGATTTCTCATGCTGCTGACCTGTTTTGTAAACGAAAAAGCAGTACTTGTATTCCTTTACAATAAAATGAATGCAAAAACTGAGTGGTGTTTATTTCTCATAGGGTATTATGCAACGCAGCAACTGGATGTTCCACTTTATGTAGGACTGTACAGCACTTTTTATCCCTTGTCCCACTGTCCCAAATAGTGAGACAATGTTCCACATTCTGTTTAGCATGAAGACAGACACTGAATGACTTAAATGAGAGGATGCTATCATGGTTCTCAGGCTGGTTGACAGACCATCATTGTACACTATCTGCACAATGTCCAATATGGAAAAATGCAGGTCACCACATTGCTTCAGTGACGTTACTAAACAAAATAGCAACTTAAAGAGTTCACAGCATTTTTATCCATCCATCCATCCATCCATCCATCCATTTGCTTCTGTTTATCCTATTTCAGGGTCACGGGGGGTGCTGAAGCCTATCCCACCTGTCTTAGGGCGAGAAGCAGGGTACACCCTGGACAGGTCGCCAGTCTGTCGCAGGGCAAACACATATACACAGGCAGCCATTCACACTGACATTCACTCCCACATTCACACCTATGGGCAATTTAGAGTTTCCAATTAACCTACCCCCACTAAGTGCATGTCTTTAGACTGTGGGAGGAAGCTGGGGGACCTGGGGAGAGCCCACGCAAACACACGGAGAACATGCAACTCCATAGAGAAAGCCTGATGGTGGAATTGAACTCAGGCATTTTTATTTTGTGGAAATACTTTCAAAAGTATTAGAAGAAGATTATTGCACAAAACTAAAATGTACTTTCCTTTAATAGTGTTCATATTTACTTAGTGTAGTAAAGTTTCTTGTTGTATTTACCCTTTTCCTCACTCTCTCACGCCTCACTCACTGTCTTGACTTTCTCATCACTGATTGGTTTCTGAGTTTCTTTGTACCTTAATTGAACTCAACTGCCACACATTATATATAGACTGTGCTCCCTGTTACTCACTCTTTTCACTCCCACAGTGGGTGACAGCTGAGGTGAGTTTGATTTGTTTTTCTGAGTTTAAACCTTTAAGTTAATTAGTTAACGTCCAACTTTGTTTTGTCTTTCAGAGTTTAGCAGCCCCTGTGTGTCTTTAAGTTAAAGTGAAATAAAGCCAGTCCCACTGCACAATCATTGATGGCTGCTTTCTTTGCCATGGTGACAACAACTTTATCTTACCTTCGAGCTTTCTAATAACACTTGGTAAGGTTGCATTCAAATAAAACATGACCTTTACACGTCAAATGCCTCTCGGCATTTCTAATGTGTCCAGCATTGTCAAAAACAAACATACTTTTTGCCCCATACTCCATTTGCAAGGTCCGGTCACCCTATTATGTAACAGGTTTGCTGTTCCCCGCTTGAGAGAAATGTGGACCCATGAACTAAAATTCACTATTTGGTTTTTTTTTTTCATCAAAAATTTGGTGACATCAGTGTGACTGTGGAAATGTTTCTACGAACTTTACAGAGCAGATAAGATCCAGCGGTGCATGCTGCAACGTACCGTGTAGGTTTTGGAGGCTAGAGCAAAAAAATTGAGCTGAATGAGCAGCAAACTATAAATAACGTTAAATGATGGATGTGCAAGTCTGCATGCTGGTATGTTAACTGGCCCCTGAGGGATTCTGGAAATGTTATGTCATGTTAGACCTGGTGGTGGTTCTAGATTAAATAAAAGGGGTCACAAGCATTACTAGAATTCACACAGAAGGGGAGCTGAACATGAGTGTCAAAGTCCATGGTAGTCTTCCCAGCAGGTATTGGTACATTTCCATGTAGGCCTGAGGTACAGCTCTGCCATCACAAGAGTCATGATGGATATAGAATCTGTAATGTCAACTGTTTCCAATTTAA